ATCCCAACCGTCTCCCAAGAAACACCATGAAAATGAAAAATATTATATACATACAATCAACCATGGAAGTAACCAAATCCCGCAATTCTGAACCTTACCAACAAATCTGGACTTGCTCGACTCAAGGCTTGACGAGCCAGCCGACGGCGCCCGTGATTGCGGCAATCATCATCACCATCAGGATCCAAGCGCCCGCTCGATCCGCGGTGGTGATCGGTTTCAGCTTAGAGGGATCCTTACCCCCTCCCTCGGAAGGCACATTGTGTTCCTTCGCGTCGGGGTTCGTATCGATCGTGTTGGGTGACTCGGTTGCCATAAGCATCAGATTGGCCGTAACACCACCCAGGGCCGACATTTGAGCTTCGAGGCCCTTGACCCCGTCGAACTTGTTAGCACCCCAGGTGAGACCGCACAGGTTGCTTTCGCCGTCGGATTGGCCGTTGCACATCTTGGAAATTGATTCAACCGACCCTTGCAGCTTAGGGACGATCTGATCCTTGGTGGACGGTACAAGAATGGAGGTGAAAGCCAACCACATGGATAGGTAACCCTTGAAACCGATCTGGTTTCTGTCGCAGGACATGATGGGCTCACATGCGACTTCGGACATGGTATTGCCGCCGTACTTGTCCGGGAAGAAGGTCTTGAGAGTCGTGCCGAGCAGACCGTTGACCCGATTCAGCCATTTTTCATCGCCATTGGTCTATACGGATCGTTAGTGGGATGACATGCGTGAGGGAGCACTTCCAGGGTCCCATCGGCGACGTGAGAAAGGAACTTACGTAATTGTACAAGAAGGCCGCTCCCGACAAATAGGTCCCATAGTTGTAGGTCCACTGGAGATTGTCTGGACTCTTACATTGATCGTCGTTGTTGACCGAATCGTAGATTATCCACTTGTTGACGTCCATCAGCCCCGACTTGGCCGACCAGTCCCAAATCTTCTCGGCCCATTCGGTATAGGTGTCGTTTTTCGTAAACCGAGCCAATCGCGCTGCTAATTCAAACAGACCGCCGTTGGAGATGGCGTTCTTTAACTGATAACCAGCTTGGTAGGGCCAGACCTGCCAGCGCATACCACCTCCACAGGTTTGAGGGTCCCAGCGCTCGATCTGCTCGTTGAAGACCGCACGCGCGAGGGAGGTCCACGACGGTTTCCCATCGCGCTCGGGGAATCCGGCCTCGGAGGCAGTGATAGATGCCAGACCCCAAAACATTTGATCGTCGTTACCCTAAGCACGTGGCGGTCAGCGATTTTGCACCCGAGGCGAAAGTAAGCGCCATGAGGACGACGATCACGACGTACCAGCCATTGACTGTAATTTTGAGAGAAAAAGTCATAATTTTCGCCCGCTTGGAACATGAGATCATGAGACACCACCGCATTCTGACTGTCGTCGCCCGTTGCTTGCCAGTATTGAATTAACGTCATGAACATACTACCAGCGATATACCAGGTGTCCGTCAGCTTTCCAGGAATTCCCTCCGTCTGGTTCTGCTTGTAGAACTCCATCATCGGAGGGATGATTTCCTGGGCGCCCTTTTTTAATGAATCTAAAATTATGTGTTAGAGCACTGAGAAAGTTGGAGCGCATGTCGGACAAATTTGCGACCGTGAGGAGGGGAAAAGAAGCATACCTTCATTATTGGCGACAATACCCAAGTCCGACAACGCGGTCTGGGCGTGGAGAAAGAGGAACAACAAAGTGGCGCATAGCTGTCGACTGGTGAGGTAGTGCATCCTCTCCGATGGTTTAGTTAATATGGGGGGGGGGGGATTCGAGTCAGTCAGTCAGTAAGCAATACAGCAGCAGTGACCGGAGACATCGAAAAAAGCTTGGAGAAGAGTTGGCGAGAGGGAAAAAGTGCATCCCGCAAGGCTTAATTTAAGTGACCCGTGCCAAGCGCACTCAGGGCCCCATCTTGACCTGACTAAGTCCCTATCATTATGGAGTCTAACGGAGTCCACGCTACCTTGGCAAGATCGGCCCTGGTGAAACGAGACCAATCATCCCCTCAAGTGCGTCATCCAAGAGAAGTCTTAATTTTCCCCTTCCAATCTCTGCACTCTGTCTTCTCTGTCTCGTCCGCTTCTGGGCTTTTGCTTGGTGGTTCCCTTTTTCTCCCGGATGTCACCTGACTAGGGTTGAGGTTACATACGGGCAAACAGGATAGAGAGAGAAACTGAATGAACGAAAACCCTGAGAACCCTGTCTCCCTGTCGATCGTGGAGTCAGGGGTCTTTGGAGGGGACTGATTGCTTATCCAACGACCCATGCACAGAAAAATTGGATCCGTGCTCCCCAAATGCGGCTATGATACGCTGTTAGTCCCGTCCCATCCCCACTCTCACCACTGGATGATGCGTCCCATGCTGCCAGTTAATTATAGCAACCCCAGTTCGTCAACTGGACAAGTTACATCGGTGATGCACAGTACCACCCTGGTGGGCCTGCTGCAGCGGTCCTGGCAAGAAAAAAAGCTTCAAAGGAACTTCTTCTAGCCTCCTATGCTCGGTCGTCTATGACATAATTACATCTTTCTGTCGCGGTTCTTTTTTTTTTTTTTTTCTCTCTCCCCAGATCTCCACTCATTACGGAAATGTGGGGACCATCACCAACTGTAGTCTAGATTGGTCCTAATGAACAGCTTCAAGCACCACACTATTTGAAAGCCACCGTTGTTAGCTGAATATTATCACTCGATCCTAGTGCAGATAAATGTAGTTGTTAATATGAATTCCAATTACTCAAGTATTTACCAAATCAGATCTACTCCGGGTACTTCGACTTTATCTCGGCGTACTTCGGAGTAAATAGAAATCCATTCAATGAACGTCTTTGTAACTTTGTTGGTCAAGGACCATCGCCATATCTCCTTAGCGCTTACTCGCACTGGAGCCATCCCTAATATCAGTGGAAATTATACGACCTGATAACGAAAATATGGCTAGTTCAACAATCACAAGATCTCCGGGAGGCCTTGAGTCAGTCTGACTCAGAACATATATATATAGAGAGGGACCATAATCCCAACCATCGGACCAGAATCTCTTTCTCCAAATTCTACACTGCTCATCCAACCCTCTACACATTACACTCTAAGAAAACAGAATTGACCGAAGGGTCATGAAAACAAAAGCCATAGAACGTACCTGTTATGTAGGTAAGAGCCCCTAAGGATCCATCTTGTGGCATAACAACTAACCAAAGTATACACTAGTATAATCACACCTTGCATTCATATTAGATATATACCTACGCATTAAAAAACAAATCAATAAAGAATGGAGGCACCAACCCCAATCCTCCAACTTTCCAACTACCTCATCCGCCCCTTCTACCCTGGCGATGTAGAAGCCATTGCGAAAGAAGGCAACAATCCCGAAATCGCCCGTTGGCTACGCAGTCGATTTCCCGAGCCCTATACCATCGAAGACGCCAAGACCTGGATATCAATCGCGACCTCTAGCTCACCGATCCTCGACTTCGTCATTAGCCGGCGGGAGGATAATATCGCCATCGGAGCTATTGGGTTAAAAGCCAGGGACGATGTATACTATCGGACTATGGAAATTGGGTACTGGCTGGGTCAAGACCATTGGGGGAAGGGCATTGCTACGGAAGCACTATCTGCAATGACTGCTTGGACCTTTGAGAATTTTGCACATGTTTTGAAGCTGGAGGCGGAGGTTTTTGATGGGAATGAAGCAAGTCAAAAAGTGTTGGTGAAGGCCGGGTATGAGCTTGAGGGGAGAAGAAGGAAAGCTGTTGAGAAAAAGGGCAATGTTATGGATACGCTTAATTTCTGTACTTTTAGACCTGATGAGTAAGTTGTCTTCATGAAGTTTTTTACCTTTTCTTTCTTTTTTTTTTTTGACGTCCCGTTGTTTGTACTGGACTCGAGGCTTGTACGGAGTTGAGATACCACAAAAGGATAACCATGATTAGATAAAAGGCGGAATAAAGCAGCCATGTAAGACTACTAGAGAGATCAGGGGTGAGGCCAAAAGTGTCCATGCTTAAAATAGAGTATAAGAAAGACGATCTTTCACATCCTTGCAAATGTCAAACTCTCTAGCAGATTATTGATGTATCACGTGACTATATTTTCTTCAATCCTTCTCATATTGGAATTAGTAAGGCATGAGTAAGGCATTTCTGTTTGATTAGGCTTAACACCTTGCTACATAACTTTTGTACAGTTGGGCTTCTTCCGCTTAGTAAGTTATACTGTCCAAATGCAGTAACTTCGGCACAAAAGGTGAATTGTGGGATCGAGTAGCAAAAGATCATTCGTTCGCCGGCCAAGAATGGGGACACTGGAGACCCATCGTGCTTTGAAATCAATCTTATTTTTTTTTGATTAGTATAACTGGTGGTAAAATGGCGACAACACCTTCCAATTTCACAGCAATTTTGCGTTTTTACGACACTCTTCTAGCAACTAATCTCATATCCGGACTGTTCTTAAAGCCCGATACGACTTCAGGAACAATATGTCTGCAAGATACAACTCTGACCCGGTAGATGTAACCCCATTGGGGGAACCGCTCCACTTTGCCTTTAGCCAGCGAACCGCGCCCAACCGTTTCTACAAGGGTGCCATGACGGAGCGGTTATCGTCCTGGTCCCCGACAGATCTGAAAGCGCGCGGAATTCCCAGCAATGAGTTGATCAATCTGTACAAGCGCTGGGGCGAGAGCGGCTATGGCATGCTCTCCACCGGAAATATTATGCTCGCATACGATCAGCTGGAGGCCCCGGGAAACCCCATCATTGATCTTGAGAATCCCTTCCACGGAGAGCGTTTTGAGGCGTTCTCTCGCATGGCGGCGGAGTCGAAGAAACATGGCAGTTTGATCGTCGCGCAGGTCAGTCATCCCGGTCGCCAGGTGGAAGAGCGCGTACAGGCCGATCCCGTATCAGCGAGTGATGTGCAGCTGCAGACGGAGGCGCTTAAGATGACGTTTGCGAAGCCACATGCTGCCTCTAAGGATGAGATCCGGGATTTCGTTAAAAGATGGACTCATGCTGCGGTCTACCTCCACAAGGCGGGATTCGATGGAATCCAGCTGCATGGCGCGCACGGGTATCTGCTGGCTCAGTTCCTGTCGCAGACCACGAACAAGAGGACCGACGAGTATGGTGGAAGTCTGGAGAACCGGGCACGTTTGATTGTGGAGGTTGCCCGGTCTATTCGACAGGAGTTGCCGTCATCGTCGGGGTTTATTCTGGGTATTAAGATCAATTCAGTCGAGTTCCAGGCCGAGGGATTTACTCCGGCCGAAGCCCAACAACTTTGTCAGATTCTGGAACAAAATGAGTTCGATTTTGTGGAGCTCTCTGGTGGAACGTATGAGGCACCCGCGTTCTCGCGCGACCGGGATTCTACCAGGAACCGAGAGGCCTTCTTCCTGGAATTCGCATCCATGATTACCCCTGTGCTGGGCAAAACAAAGAGCTACGTTACTGGCGGTCTCCGGACGGCGTCGGGAATGGTGGCTGCACTGGAGACGGTGGATGGTGTCGGTTTGGCTCGACCTGCTTGTCAAGAATTCAACCTTCCTCGCGATATCCTTGAGGGCCGAGTGACTGGCGTGATTGAGCAAAAGGTTGATCAGCAGAACTTTGGCTTGACGAGCGCCGCCGCGGGCACGCAAATGAAGCAAGTGGGCAAGGATGAGCAGCCAATCGATCTAGGTGACGAAAAGAATCTGGCGCTCTTCATGAAGCACCTGGGGGAATGGGCCCAGCAGGTTCAGGAAGACGCACACAAAATGAACATGTATGGGTTCATGGATCTCCCCAAGGGAGAGGCTTTCCGGGGATAAACATTGTCTCGACTAGTTATATAAGGACAGAAGCCACCATTTGGGCTTTATAAAACATCAACATTGTGAGCTGATCTGTTCGCGATGGATATCGAGCAATCACTGTGATCGAGTTGAATAATCATTTATTCATAGAAAGAAACTTCGGTCATGCATACTCACATTTCGCAACATCATCCTCAGGCCCGTTGACCTCTAGCTCACGGATTGGCTTCTTGAAGTCTCGTTCGTCGAAGTTCGGTAGATTTCGCATAATTTTAACGTAAAGCCAGACGCGCTGTGCAGGGAACGTCATGTATAGCTCCTGCAGCTGATACTTGACTTCCAACCTGTCATCTTGTGTTAACTTGGAATGGCTCAGAATCACATCTACCTTGATCTTCAAAAAAACCATAAGTTGCGACTGCATGAGATCATAAAAATATGAGTCCAATCCCCCATCTGCAAATGGTGGTTACGTTATTGACCGTACTCTGCAAAGTTACTTAAGGGGAAAATCACCTGATTTCATGAACTTGTACAATTCTGGCACGTCTGATTTGCCCGACAACGCCATTACCTTCAACCCAACTAGGTGTGCAACCCACTGGGACATATGGATCTCGGGCTTTGGGCGAGCGATGACCTTGTACTTAAGGCAGACTTTCCCAGCTAATTGCCCTGCAATCTTCTCTAGCTTCTTTAGGAATGCCAGGTGAGGGTCATTGGCCTCACCAGTCACCACTTTGAAACCCTCCCTAACGTTTAAGAGATACGATTTGAGGGTTCTCCCAAGAGCCGATCTAGATCTGTAGACTATAGTGTCCCCTTTAGTTGCCTGCTCGAGGAAGATATTATTGATCAAATTGACATGGTAGGAAGATATACGAAAACAGGTAAAATAGAACCTGTCTTCAGCCCGAGGGCCCCGGTTCGGCTTCAAGACAAGCTTCCCATTGACCACAGTTGAGTACGAGTTTCCACACTTCTCGATAGGAAGGCTTTTGAGTATCGAGACGGCCTTATCAGGAGACAAATGCTGGTTTCTGACATTTTCTCGCAGAGTTTCCCACTCCGCCTGGAGATCATCTGCGCCTTCCTTAGAGGGGTTTACAAGCAAGGAGCTTCTCAAGATGATAATGAGTTTCGCAGAAATCGGTGCAAAGTTATGGTATTCCGTGTATGCTTTTTCGACTGCTCTCCCGGTAGCGGGGTCAATCTGGACATCCGAAGGGCCCTCAAAGACTCCATACGCATTATGGGTCAATATGAACTCGTCTTCCTCTGACGAAGGCTGACAGAATGCCATGAATTTGCCCTGCATGTGATCAATGAACATCATTGCATCGTCCGGGAATGCCTGTTTGTGAACCTTGCTGATCCACTGCATACCTGGATCCATTTCTAGATCCAAGAAAGTCTTGAGATTGGCGTACCAGATATCACGAGGCGATTTGAACCCCTTTTCCCGCATGTAACTCTCCAAACGGTGTTTGTCATTAGAATCATAGGTCGTGATGCTGTCATGGTTGAATCGAGCATAGAAAGTGGAGTTTCGGTATTTCATCAGGAAGAGGAACTTCCTTATAGTATCCCTTTCGCGGCGAGTTAATTCAAGTTTATCACCGACTTTGAATGTATCTGATGCTCTTTTGATAATTCTACCAGCATGACCTTCCAATTTTCCGAGATTATCCTCGATATGCCTCGGGTTCGGGTAGCCTTGATCGCGGTACATGTCCACTAGTCCAAACTCGCGTGATACCGACACTTGGACCAGGGCGTTCTTCTTCAAGTCTACCGCATTGACGAACGGATCTTTGGGCGACTGCCCTTGTGGCCTTTGACTGCGTGGCCTTCTTCCTCTCCGACGACGCGCAGGTGGCGGTTGTTCGAGAGCTGCGAACTGGCGCAGGAGAAACCGCGGGATGAAGTGATGATACTCGGCCTTGTATTCAGTGGTTTGAGCCATGTTGAGTTTCGTGGGTTGCACAGAGGAAGAGAGGAAGAGAGGGAGAGAGTGTTTTTGTGTGCTGCAATGCAGTACATTTATGAACTGTAGGCGATGAAGCGTTAATGAAGGCTACTACCCCACGTTACAGCCTTGCGCAGTATATGTCGATTCATTGGTCTTGGAGTGATTCGCTAATAAGTTCAGCTGCATTTAAGCGCTGTGGGCATGCCGTCGCTGACGTGGCCAATACTTGCATTTTGTAGCTTTCGTTCGCTGTGAATGTTCGATGTAATATAGCGTCATGCCTGATAGCCAACTAGATACCGAGCCACAAATTCTGTTAATAAGTGTAATTATATGAGAGGAGACCCTAAATAGCTATGTACATATGATAGAGGGGGGAATAAAGGCGATTGGTTGTTTTGACAAGAGATTACCGTTTTACATCCGATCATGAAATGCCGCAGAGGAAAGCAAGCTCATCCTTGGGAAGTATAGACTTTTTTCAAAAATTGCACGGCATCATTGTAGACCTTGTCTCTCAGTTTGGTATCGATGAACATTGAAGGCACTGCTTACCAACCATATTTAGTGTGTATAACAACATATAGAAACATAGACACATACACTCAATCCATCCATGTATCTGATCGTCGAAGAACATGCCCTCAATGTTATACGGGCGTCGAACAGTTCCTTCATTTTCTGAAGCTAGCGACACTTTGTCTTCCCTATTGCTTGGATGATCTTGTGATGCTTCTTGTAGGCCCTCGATTTCGCGATTAAGGGCCGCAGCTTCATCTTTCAATCTATTCACAAACACTGTCTGCTCATGAAAAAGAATATCGACCTCCGCACAAAGGAACAGCATATTCCGTGGCAGTGACTCGATATCAGCCAGGATGGGATGTAGTATAGGGCTATCCCGATACTTCTCTCGCTCCAAACCGGCATATGCGTCCATCAAGGGCAAAACAAAAGCTAGAGGATCCTTATCTAGATATTTGGCCGGCTTCAGCTTTTCCCACGGTGACAGCCTCAGATCGACCTGTGGATAAGTCAAGAAAAGCCCTACTCAGGCATCTGACAAACCGGTAATGAAGGTATAACTTACGGGTGCGTAAAACATCACCGCTGCCTTCACGTTGAACTCCGACCGGGCCAACCATTGCGCAACGCCTAAGGCTAGATTTCCTCCCGTTGAGAAGCCACTCACACTCATCAGTCTTGGATCAGCGTCCCAGAGTCTTCCCGCGTTTTCAATCAACCATTCAGCTACATCTTGGACATCCCTATGGGCAACGGGGAAAGTATACCGCGGGGAATATCGGTGAGAGGTTGATATCACTACCGCCCCGGTCTCTGCCACGACTCGATCACAGAACGGCGTGTTGCCTTCAGGGAGACCTCCGAGGAACCCGCCGCCGTGGATGTTGAGGTGGAGAGCTCGCGGTTCATTCTTTGACACTTTCTCGAGGGGGTGGTATACAATAGCGCGAACAGAGTGACCCGGGGCACGCCTCAAGGGAATCCAGATAGTGGTCTTGGGATGTTTCGAGCGTATGCCGCGCCAATATTGAATTGCATTTGTAAGGAATACTACGGGCTGTAATGCAAGAAGGCGCCAGCGAAAACTGAAAGGGAGACCTGGACATAGAATAGCATCGTACAGGGGACCGAACCAGCGATAAAAGAAAGACATCATTTCGTGCCAGCGGTTTTTGTCACAGTGCGCATGTTTGCGCATCGCATATTTATAGTCCCTTGGCCCTCCGGAAACTTGGTTGCGTTCGTATTCGTCCGTATAACTGCCCGACGCATGAAGGGAATGAGTCACTCAAGATTTCGCGTTTGCTCTCAAGTGACCTAATCTGGATTCATCGAGATCGAAGCGTAAGTTGACTTTGGATTGCTCTCCTGTCAAAGAAAAACCTTCCAAATCGCAACAGCGTGTACAGCCTCGTGATGTCATGTTTCGGGTAGACTGCTGAGCCAAGATGTGTCCACAGCCTATCATTATGGCCGTCAAGAGTTTAGAGGGGTAACGGTAAGCGAACAAACGCAGGTCTATAGAGGACAGGACATTTACGACCTCTGCAACCCTGTTATTATCTTCAAAGGAGGCTGCCCATCCTTGGTCATTCAAAGCTTTGCATTGTTCCCTGTCCCGAATCCGCTGCAGAATTCCGACCGATATCATTTCCGAGCCCTAGCACGTGATGTGATATCTCTCTGCAAACAGAAGCTGATTTTGAGGGTTTGCCATTGCCCTTTGAGAATCACCCTCGGAGACATTCACGTATATACTTTCCCCCAGGAAAAGAAAGAAAGAAAAAGGGGATATTATAAATTACGGTGGGAGGATGCATCGCCAAGAACTTTTCAAGTTTCACTGGTTGACTGCCGAACAGCGGTAATTGATTCAACAGACTAAAGAACACTGGGTATGACTTGGGTTCACGACATGAAATTGCAGGGAAACATATACAGCAAATTAAATCGACGCATCTACTGTTGGTGTAAATGGAGGATTGAGTCTTTTCGTCGGTGCCAAGTTTCGACAATTCTTCCCCACCGCTGAACTATGGTTCCCATTTGTCACTCAAGAAGTAGGATCATCCAACTCCTCCAGGCTGCATTCTTGGCACTCGCCCACGCCCCTGCTCATATTTTACGATCGTCGATGACTTGGGCCTCCACGCACGGAGACATGGAATTGCTCAACTGATCTCTGTTCCTCAAGAATGCTGCCAGTTTGCATGACCTGTTGCTCAGAGGTCTACAGGTGAACAACGTAACCAGAAAGCTAGCTGCCGCGTAGGTAACGGAGCCAACAGCCGTCTCCAGAATCCTCTAGTTTGGATTACGTTGGGAGTTAGAGCCAGAAACAAAAATAGTCGCCCCTAATTCTGCATCGTTCTCAAGCTTACGGCAGAGATTGAATCGCACGATGCCAAGACATCACAGCCTTTGTACCATGGATTCAGCAGCAGGCAACACTGAGCAATCACGCCTGAGAGCCTCAGAGAGTGGATCAATGATGGCTTCTGCTAAAATTCGACCGTGGGGGCCAGAGACCCTTGACTTCCAGACCAAAAGTCCCCGAGACCCTTGAGTCCCTGCGTTATTCTCCATCAGGAAGGTGAGCTGTTAGTTTGCCCTAGGACGCTTTCCTTCCTTAGGAAAAATGCCTTGTCGATAGAAATTTCGGAACAGGATGTCAGCGATTCACCATAGCCTCATATGAGGGTCATAGGAGTGAGCCTCGCAGCAAAGGAACCAGATCAACACTCAAGTATACCGAACGGTACAAAAAGAACCGGAATATAAACTAAAAATAAAAAAAAAAAAATGTAAATAGTCAAATGCTTATGGGTGATTACACTATTTTGTTTGTGTAGGCTTTTTTTACCGGCATAATTTCCCCTAGCGCGCCCACGTCGTATTCAGAATATGTCGACACCCGAAGACAAGAAGATTTGACAAGTAATTTAGGGTTCTCAAGTTTCCAAAAAAGAAAACCGTTCGGAGAGCCCCAGTCAAAGTTAACATCTGACCCACCTCCTCAGCCTTGTCTTGTCCTCGGACAGTTGATTAGGCTGCGCCTCTCTTTTCCCTGCTGCCAAGAACGTAGTGTACTGTTTCTCCTCGTGTTATAAATGATGCGGTCTGTCGCGCTATCAGTCTTTGTTCAAGAAGCCTTTTGATTGTTAACTCCCATAATTCCGTTCATCCGCAGCTTCCGAGAAACCAGACTCGGGGCGCTGTTTGCAATATGCGTCTTTTCGGCATCACTCTGGTTTCAGCCGCTCTGGCTGCTGCTCAGAGCGGTACATCCACTTCCTCTAGTACCTCACCGTCTAACACCTCGGAACCGTGTTCACTCGCTAGCCAACTCGCCGACGAGAGCCAGGTCATCCCAGCCCAAGTCGCCTATGACTGCTTGAGATCCGTTCCAGTGGCCGTGGACCAAGATAAGACACTCATTGATCAACTCAAGCTCTTGTGGGAGTGGCACTCAGAGACTGGCTATCTGAAGAACACACCCGACACATGGGAGCTGGGCTCTGTTGACCTCCTTGGGGAATTGGACAAAATCAAAGAGAATCTTTCCTCCTACGACAGTGAATATGACGTGCAGCTCGCAATCAACAAGTTGACCCTGAGGACAGGCAACTTCCATTTCAACTATGTGCCTGATATCCTCCAAGTCTTCTATTTTCAACGTGTGATTCCCGTGACTACCGTCTCGGAGGACGGAACCAGTGTGCCAGAAACCTATGCTGTCGCAGATCTTGTGCAGAAAGACTCTGACGATAGCATTGACATTTCGCCAATTGTTAAAATCAACGGCGAAGACACACAAACGTATCTGAACAAGATAGCCGCCCAGGAGCAGTACATTGACCCCGACGCCCGGTTCAACAGCCTCATGTGGAGGGGTAACGCAGCCGCCTCGATGGGCAGCTTTGTTAATACTGGGCTAGGCATTTATGAAGGCGCAACGACAAATATCACTTTTAAAAACGACACCACTCGTGTTATCAAGAACTTCGCGGATGTACGCCAAAACCTGACAGCAGTAACCAGCGGAAAGTCGTTCTTTGAAGAACTGTGCACCGGTAGCTTTGCTGGCATCGAGGCAATGAGCGCGTCCATGAAGAAAACACCATATAAAGGAGCTCCTCATCACTGGAAAAGGCAAAGCATTCCTAGTGACGGCTACCCCAAGCCAGTTGTTGAACACAGTGGTGGTATGGTCGCTGGCTATTTTATGAACGGATCTGATTTTGAAGACGTCGCTGTCCTCAAGATTGTCACCTTTGACACGTCCTCGGCCGGCAGTGAGGATGCTGCTATCGAGTTCCAGGATGTCGTGAAGCAGTTTCTGGGCAATTGCACAGACGCGGGCAAGAAGAACCTCGTCATTGACCTTCGAGAGAACGGTGGAGGTGACACCGCCCTTCTCCTAGATACCTTCATGCAACTTTTCCCCGGTGAAGTGCCCTTTAGTGCTCAGAGATATCGTGCGCAGGAGCAGTACAAGCTCATTGGTGAAGCTGTCAATTCAGTTTATGAGGATCAATCCGTGCAGACGTTGATCAAGAAGGCTACTGGCGAGAGTAAGCAAAACACTGTCCGAAGTGAATTAAAGTAATGCTAACCTGTCTAGGTTTCGCCGATATTGGCCTCGTCAGGTACTGGGCTTACTGGAACTTTGTCGATGTTAATGGTGACAACTTCAAATCGTGGGATGAGTTCTACGGTCCTCACAAGTACAATGGTGATGAATTCACGACTATCATGAGATATAACGTAAGTACAACCTAGAAATCCATAGAGCAATGAGCACTCCCAGCTTACATGACACAGATGTCCAACAGTAACCCAGTCAGCATCCTGGATCAGTCAGGCTTCAAATTCCTGAATCCTCCCGCCAGGGACCCCCCGTTTGCGGCTGAGAACATCGTCATGTTTTCCGACGGTCTTTGTGGATCGTCCTGCGCTTCATTCCACGAGGAGCTCAAGAACATTGCTGGCGTCAAAGCCATTGCCGTTGGTGGTCGTCCCCAGGAGGGTGCCATGCAGACCATTGGTGGCTCTAAGGGTGGAGAGGTCATTCCACTGAACATTATCCCCCTTTCCCTCCAGACAATGATGAACCTCACTGCACCCTTGGGAATTGATAGCCTCGACGACAACTCTCTCACAAAGCTTGCCAACCCCGACGTGCTTCTCACTCGCGCCGGCGATTACAGCAGTCGTATTCAGGTGCAAGACCAGATTCGCAAGGGTGATGAGTCAGGCACTCCACTCCAGTACATCTATGAAGATGCCGACTGCCGCATCTTCTACACCACCAAGATGCTGCTCGAGCCTGAAACCGCATGGGAAGCTGCATGGTCAGCCTACACGGATGATAGCAAGTGTGTTAAGGATTCCACCAAGAAGTCATCCAGTATTAGCGGTGGATATAAGCCGTTTGGCCCTGGAGATCTTAACGGTAAGCAGTCAGAGAACAGCACCTCGTCATCCGACAAGGATGAGGAGAATGCTGCTCCTGCTTGGAGACCTAGCCTTGCTATCTGTGCCGCGGCTACAGTCATCAGCTTCCTTCTTTAGATGTTTTTCTTTTTACGCTTTTTTAGAATTTTAAGGACTAAATGTGTTCAATGTTTGCATTTTGTGCATGATGATACCTATATATTACGATGACTATTCTGTGAATTTACATTTAGATATTCTGATGAAGATTGTACATATACATACATTATTTACCTGTATGATCTGTCTGACTGCTGAGCAGTAACTCGTGTATTTAGATTCGCCTATCAAAACTATTTGCCAAGTATCTACAGTATCAGACTATAATTCGTCTTCCTATGTCTGGCTATCAAATAATATTTCTACGGGAGATTTTGACTCTTACTCCACTAACTTATCCTTCTCAACAATGACCTAGAGCTGTGAATTGTTGTTGCATAACCTATTCTCTTTATTTGATTTCACTGCCAAAAGTCAATCAATATCGGTAGTCGTGGCGATTGACCTGGTAGCCTCCAGATCTCTCTGTAGATCTCTAATCTTGGACTCTAGTGCAACTACACAGTCCGTTCCCAGGGGCATACGCAGATAACCATAACTCGCAACGGTAGCGTTAATGATTGCCCGCGCCGCCTTATCGGGGTCTCCTTTGACAAAGTCCGGAACGGACATGATATGTCGGGTTCCATTGACTATCTGCTCCACCGTGGTGCCCTTGTAGCCCTCACTAACACCATTCTCAAATTGGGCGGGAGTCAGTATCCGGCCCCAGAAGGGCGTCCGAAACGCACCCGGTTCCACTATGAGGACTTTTATACCAAAAGTCTTGACCTCTTGGCAAAGAGACTCATGTGTGGCTTCAATGGCAAATTTACTGGCGGAATAGGTAGCTCGAGCCGGACGGGCTATGAAGCTGTTCACATAGAAGGTTTCGTCAGACAGATTCCGGCAAGAAATTTAAGAAATAAACATACCCAGCACCACTGCTGATTAGGATCTAAGCCCAGCCAGATGTCGCCTTTAACCGAGAAATCCGGACAGGCGATCTCGGCATTGATGATATCGCGGGTAGTTCCAATGACTTTATAGCCAGCCTTGAGAGCTTCCAAAGCAGGCGATTTCCCTAGGCCGGATGAGGCACCAGTGATCAACCAAGTAGGAGGCGCTACTATCATATCGAATACTGTATTTGTGTTTGTAGGCCATAACTTTTCGATGGTATCAAGTTATGGTGAACCAGAAGGACAGCGATGCAAATAGTCGGTGGTCAAGCGGAGTTAAGGGCATATCCCCTTGGGCTGCTGTACTAATTTCCTATAATGATCTTACCATAGAATTCTGTGCAAACCCTGTGAAACACAAGTTATGGCCAGCCTTGATAGACTCAGTATATTTATGATGGAAAGCGCGCCACGGTTTTGCGATCGGCGATGGAGTCCTTGAACAAAGTCAATTAATCTATTCCGGTTTGTTTTACCCTCCCATAGAGAGTCGACATATTAGGGGACTGTGTCTTATTGGATTGTTTTGCACTCATATTATAGTGAATAGGCATGAAAGGTTGCTAAATCGACATTAAGCTCAAGTACTACACTCCACTGATACGGGATATTCGAAGTTCGGACTTTACTTCGGGTTTTGCTCAACACCTCCTAGTGTAACCGTGTTGCGCTTACAGAGGCTGCTTTTAAGGTCTACTAATTCCGTATATGTGTTAATAACTATGGTGCACCCTTTTATGATGGTTCTATGCTTGAGAAAGTGGTTTAACCCCTGTTCAGCATTGTCTCGAGATTGGCATAATAAGTATTGCCTTGTCTTGAATGCAGAGAAGATTTTTAAATAAACGAAGTATCTATGAACTAAAGCTCTAATCGCACACCTTTTCGCTAACTATCCTCACTTACCCTACTTGCTCGCCTCCACACCTTCAGCGGCATAGGTCCGGAGTAGAAATTCGTCGTTTCATGTCTGACCGGCTCCCAGGATGGCGACGGCAACGCGAATTCGAAGCGATGCACAAGTGAAGCTAGAAGGACAGTCTGTTCCAGATAACTGATATTACGACCGATGCACCCTCTAGCCCCCGCACTAAAAGCAACAAAATACGGCTGAAGATCGCGTCCCTTATCGCCAAGCCAGCGCTCAGGCTTATATGTGTCCGGGTCTGGAAATATTTCCTCGTTGCGATGAACCACATACGCTGAAATACCGACGGAAGTATCGCCTGCCACAAATTCACCCCTAATAGTGGTGCCTTCCTGAGGTGTCCGGCGCGGAACATGGAAAGACACAGGTGGGTACATGCGCATGTTTTCATCAAGGCAAGCTCGCAGGTAGGGCAGATGCTTCACTTTGTCATAAGGTGCGATAAGCTCATCTTCTTCCAGGACACCGTCGATCTCCTCCCGGAGCTTTTCTAAACAGTGTGGATTTTTCAACAAAAGGAGCATCACGTTGCTCAGGGAGATCCCTGTGGTATCAGAACCTGCGTTCATCATGATGCTCACTTCAGCTACGATTTCTCCCCATTCGAGGTTATTCGGAGCACCCGACTTGTCTTCCATGAGGGCAGAGAAGAAGTCATCAAGCTTTTCTCCTTTCTCATATCGCTTCCACCGTGTTGTCGCCCGGTTGTTCACGATCCCGTCCCAATCTTCAGTCAACTTCCATTTCTGGCGGTACGTCGAGGATACTAGTTTGCTGACTCGAATCAGCGTCTCGTACCAGTCATAGGCCCATATTAGGGTCGAAGTAGCCGACGCATTGGCGAACAGACAATCCCGAAAGTGGACCTTTTTTACAGTCCCATCTTTTGCTTCCGACGAGATAATATCATTGCCTTGATCCAGGAATCGAATATCTTCGCTAAGCCCAATATTAGCAATGGCGGCGATGGTGTACAGATTCGCCCACATGCGATAATCGATCCTAAGGTCTTGGGGGTCTGGATTTTGGCCCTTGGGCAATGGAGTGGTACATCTCTCGTCAAATGCTTTGATGATGCGTTGCGTCATGTCGGCCACCTTATATTCCCAACCTTCAAGATTCTTGATGGCGTAGGCGCTGGAGAGGACTTTGCGCTTTCGAGCATGGTCTTCTTTGTCCACTACGTCTGCCAGGTGGTAGTGTGAGCCGGATAGTGCTGAGTAGAATACATCCTTGGTACACTTTGTACCGTGTCCGTAGATGTCCTTTATGGCAACTGGGTCGGCGTAGGAGAGTTTATTGGGTCCAATCCGGAGGACCGGGTGCTGTTTGTGTGCTTCAAGGAGGACATGTGAGCGGATGCCCTTGTGGGAGTAATAGATGAGTGGGAGGTCAGAGATGCCGGATACAAAGGTCAGGTTGGGGTACTTTCGGAGGCCTTTGGGGTCACGGAAGTAGTTAATGATTGGTATGACGATATAGTAGATGAGGAGGAAGTGGAGGGTGACGAGGAGAAGTAAGCTGTACATCTCGTCCGGATTGTGGTGAATGAGTATCTGGCTCGTGAATGTCAGAGATGAGTTATTGGGGTTTCCGGTTCCTCTTCAATCTATCTATTCCTCGACATTTTGGACATCTTTATAACATATTCTGTGGGATCCATTACTATCGGCTCGAGTTAGCTATGCATCAATTTCCAGTAAGGTATCACCAGGACGAGTAAAGTTCGCCGGAATTCATTTTCTATGTGGAAAGTCCCGGCGAAAATGTATCTGAATACGGAAATGATCTTCACATCACGTATCAGCTGCAGCCCTGGCTGGCATCGTAAATCACTCTTTATCCTGGAGTAGACCCACGATGCGGGGTTCCCGCTCGCTTTATCGGGATCTATGTTCCATGGATAGTATATCCCACCATAGACTGGAGCGACTCACAAGCTGAGGAACGGGGCAGCTGACCACTATCGCATATTCTTATATCCAGATGCAGATTGCCCTCCAAATGCCGGCAGTTTCGTGTCCCAGCTGTCTCGAGCTCTCTTCTTAACCTGCAACATATACTGATCTATCCTCATCTGTTATGGAAATACTCGATACCGGTATGGAATTTCGATATTGATCTAACACGGCCGTCGCCTTCCACTTTGCCAAGAGTCCCATTGCAAAAGCATCAGCTTTCATACTCAATAATAAAAATCCCAGACCAATTTTGTGGCGTAGAGCCAAAGTAAGCCTTTTATATCCCCTGTACTTTTGTCCTGTGTTGCCATCGTCCCCGCTTGCTCGGACATGTACGCACATAAATCAGCTCAGTTGCGCATCATCCGGCCATTGCCGTCATGACACCTAGCAAATGCTCCAAATTCTCGCCCAGGGAGTCTGTTTGGGATGGGTCGAGTGTTGAAATGTATCTATTCAAGGTCAAGTACCTCGTAGGAGTAAGCTATATAAGCAACGATACCTAACGCTGCCGCCCGATCGAAATGAAAATCATACTCATGAGAAAGAATAACTACCGATATTGTGTCATTGGAAGGGATGGGAGAACAGTTTTAAAAAGACAAGGAAGAAGGGATATTTCAATATATAGCAAACATCTTCAATGACTACTCCAGGAATCGCGACAAGATTGTGAGGTAAGAAGGCTGCGCGTTCTGCCGTGTTAAAGTTTATAATATCATTTAGGCCAGAGGCAGACCAAATGCTGTAGATTTCATGTAGTTAGGAAGAATACAAACGTGGGCTATTTAATCATTAAGGAAGCCGTAGAAAGTGCAATGAATATCCAGGTCATCGTGCCATGGCATCAGGTTTGGTCACTAGCGATACATCAAAGTTGGACCTTATCTGGAAACCACAATCTCTGCCTCCCTTCCCCGCATTTCAACAAAAGAGTAAGATATCCTGGTTCTGTCTGGTAAGCGTCATTTGTGGTTGGATGCCTGAATTGTTTCGTGTTTCATATAATCTGACTAAGATTCAAACATGCAACCACCCCCAATCAAAACTATTGCGAATGACTTCTTAGACAAGGGTAACAGTCCGATCAGCCGATGCAAATCGGGCCGTATTACTGTCGCAAAGTCAGCAGAGGGAGGATATTTAAAGTGTGAGTTTTCCAAACTGGGGTGGTGATCAACAAGACGGACAGAAAACAGCCCTAATGTAGTTAGCATAGCTAAGGCCCGCAACTAGGATCTAAGCCCCAGGGATATGCCTTGTCATTGAGACTATTTAAAGAGTCATCTTATATCTTGAAGAGGTATCACATTTCGTTTCCTGCTATACACCTGGAAGAAAATAGTCGAATGGCATCAGACAGTATTCATCATGGAGAGCCAGTACGCGGAGTGGTTTACGCGCATCTCTCACGACAGAGACCTCTTCTTCCTTGATCCCACCGAGTTGTCGACCTTACAGTCCTACCTTGAAGGCAATCTCCCTCTACAAGACACAGTCTTAAGCTTAACAGCCCCCACCGCGCCTCAATGGCATTCCACCCAAAGTAGCAGGGTTTGGGCGATGCTCCTATCCATCGCAGAAGACTATGGAGAAGCACATGATCGCATCATAACTCTGATCGAAGCATTGTTTTCTCTCCCGAGGCCATCACAGCCTAATGAGCAGGACTGGCCGGGCGAGAAAGAATTCGGCTTTCCGCGGTGTTGGCGCGACATCCATGATTGTAAGTATCATGAGCAGGACCCTTGGTAGTAGTGTTCAGGATTGTTGATCATCGATCCCACAGCTTTATGGGCTCGGGAATCAGAGATTGAGTCTTTGTCTGATTCTGTCGCCACGAAGTGGATAAACTACCAAGCGTTCACCGCACGCCTTCTGGCTTCATCTCTCTTGAGCGCTCATGGCAGGGCCTTATTGAATACAGTCGATGCTCTTGAAAAGACTCTGGAGCTAAAGGAGCTCACAGTGAGACAAGACATTGATAATAGCTGCTGCTGCACAGTACTGGATCTATGAGGACTAAAAGACTTTTGGCATTCCGCTCCGATTCACTACATTTGGAGTATTCGAGCTAGATGCATCACTGCACGAAGGGTGGAGAGCTTTAGTAGTGTAAATTAGTTTTATGCTGCTAGAGTGGGAGGAGGGGGAAGAAGTTGGAGGATATTGCTTTGGGGAAAACCAAGCCATAGAAGAACTACGTGGTAGTACTAGGGAGGCAACAAGCGGGCAGAGTGAAGGATGAAGAAGGTTTGAAGCCAGGGGAGACAGATGACAAAGAA